TGTAGCCTGAGTAGTTGAATGTTATGGAAGCCCTATTGTGACGTAATCGGGTGCATGATTCTGGGAAATTTGAATCATGGGATGTTTTGTAAGCATTTTTGTGATGTGTGTTGGTTTGATTCTTTAGACGATAGAATGGCTGAATGTAGTAAGATTAATTTGAAGTTTCTATACGATTTGGAGCGAAAGGGGAAAAGAGCTTTAATTGACTGGTGTGTAAATGAAGGTTTACTTAGTAGCCATTACAAGTGTTCTGTATGTAGGAAGGATATGCGTCTAGTCGAACGTAAAAACCGTTTAGATGGATTTGAATGGGTTTGTAGGAAGAAAGGTTCAGATGGTCACTATGTGAAGCGTTCGATCAGAAAGAGTACCTGGTCTGAAAAAAAGTCATTTGCGTATGATTGATATTTTGATTTTTACGTGGCTCTGGGAGTACGAAGCAAACTCAAAAATCATGGTAAGTGAATATTTGCTTTTGGTAGTGCTTAAATGTATAACATGTTTTTCCTTTTCTGTGTTATTTTATTGTTTGGTTTAAAATGTATTTTATTGAGATTATGTATTTTTTGTTTGCCTATACACTATTGTAGAATTTGGTGCTCCTTTGACTTTTTAAGTGAAATATATTGATGTGTACATGGACAAAGTAAAGGGAGTGCGCAATGCAAGTTTGTGCAATTCTGGGATTTTTTTTTAGTGAAAATAGGCCAATGTGTACATGGATAAAGTTAAAAGAATGCGCAATGCCATTTTTGTGCAATTCGGATATTTTTTTCTAAGTGAAAATAGGTCGACGTGTATATGGATAAAGTCAAAGGAGTGCACAATGCCATTTTTGTGCAATTCGGGGATTTTTATTTAAGTAAGTCGATGTGTACATGGATACTGAGTTTGTGCAATTGTTTGTCTTGTTATTTTGGCTTTGTGTAGCGAAATTTTTGGCGCAAAAATCGCCGCTTCGCAAGCCAAAATAACGAGTCAAAGAATTGCACAAAATTGGTATCCATGTACCGCCAAGTTTCACCAAGGGGTACCCTAAACTATACTTTTACAGATAACTTTACGTCCGTTATACATTAAATGCACATGCGTAAAGCATACCAAAAAAAAAGGTTGTGGCTTTGAGGTCTGGATTATAGATCATTCCGGATAATGGGCATCCGGATTACTGACTTTGTAGTGTATTTGATTAAAATCAACCATACAATTCACTCAAAAAGCATTAAATTATCTACCATTTAAAAATTATCAGAAGCTAGTACTATATTTAAAAAATTTGCTATATTTATAAAAAGTTGAAAATTTTGAACTTTCTTTTATCCTTTTCCTTTAATAAATCATGGCTGCTATGCACAGATACTGCACAAGAATATTTGACGGCCCTATACATTGTTTGCATACAAAATACAACCTTTCACAATTCCAGATAATTTTGGTCAACCTTGAAAAGAAAAGGTTGATCTTTACATTATGGTAACTTGGCGATTTTTTGGCGAAAATTTGGCGACCAACTCTCCTACAGCAACCCTCTATTTTTTTTTTCCCCCGCCGCCATTTTGTCTTTCACGAAGTAAAGACATGTTTTCTTTTTTTTTTATCTTACTGAACACTTCTTCCAACAATCTACTAGCCGAATTACACTTATGCTAGAAATTTTTATCAAACAAAACTGCTTAATCATGACAAATATTCACTGCAAAATTGGGAAAAAGTGCACAATACCATACTCCTTACGCGTTTTTCAAAATAACACATACACATAAACCATGTACACGTCCGACTTATTTTTACTTAAAAAAAACATCCCAGAATTGCACAAAAATGGCATTGCGCACACTCTTCACTATATCCATGTACACTGCTTTTTTCTCATAAATTAGAAAAATTTCACGAAAATACATGACAATTTTCTCAATCTTTAAACCCGGTAAAAAGAACATATATGAAATTACCTGATCGCGAAAAAGTATTTACCCTTTACCAAATGAACATTTCCACATATAAAAATAAATAAAATATCCAAAAACTTTTACCTCTAAATCATCTATTACATTATACAACGTCACCAACGAATTCATACCGCAAGCATTACAAATACTTAGTATCAATATTTAAATTATTTCCATGCACGTTTATACTTCAACTTAAACGTATACCAAATTCCTACAAACATAAAATTCACAAAATAACTATCATTTCATTAAAATATAATTAAATTCAAAAACACTACTTAAAATATAAATGAGCACATACATTAAATTAATAAAATTACCTTACAATCCTAATTACTTTAAACTAAATCATTGCTAATAACAATTTTCCCAATAATACCAAATTCCTTTCCCCACCTTACATTTAGAACAATGCATAAAAATAATATCCTCAAATAATTAAAAATACTACTTACCTAATCTTCTCTTCAGAATCTTGATTACGTGGCGGATAACACTTTCTTACTTCTGTTTCAGAATCTTTAAAATCATACTTATCTTTCAAAGCAAGATACCAGGTAAAATAATAACATATAAAACATCTTTATTTCTCTCTCTCTCTCGCACAACCTTAAAAAACATTTATTACTATCCTTTTCAATACCACTAAATACCCATTTCGAATTCACTTTAGTTACGGCCATGGGATCCAAAAATTCACAAACACTATTTCACACAACACAGAATAAAGCCAAATACAAAATTGCCAGATTTTTTCCCGATTAAAAACAGTAATTCGTCCATTAATATCACATAACATATCCCATGATCTCTCATTTCCCTCACACAAATAATCGTAATCAGAACTGAATACTACTCACATTCTTAAAAAAGTCTAACTAACCTAATCTTCTTCCGAATCTTCCTTACATGGTGGATACACTTTATTATGAATTCAATAAAATTACTGACGATTTTTTTTTTCCGAATTTGATAGAATTTTGATAAAAAAAAAATTCTCTTTATCACATCTACAATTCACTTTAGACAGCGCCATACAATCCCAAAATTATTCAACCCTACTTCACACAACACACAATGAAGCTTATACAAATAATATACATCCACAGATACTTGTCCAAATTCCCCCCCCTTTTCCGATTAAAGAACCGTAATTCGTCCATTAATATCACATGACATATCCCATGATCTCTCATTTCCCCCACACAAAATAACGCGTAATCGGAACTGAGTACTGCTCACATTATTACCAAACTCCCAGGTAGTAACCTTTATTGCCTCCAAAATGTCGCCAAACTACCAGTTACCATATTGTAAAGATCAACCAAAGAAAAAATTCAGTTTTTATCCATCTTCTAAGTAGTTGTCAATTTCGGAAGCACTTACCATGAGAGATTTCCCTATGTGTTTATTTAGAATACTCGTTTAAATTAAATATTCTGCTATAATTTTAAAAATTGAACATCTACAATTCTTTAAATGAACAAGGCAGATTTCCTCATATCTTGGCATCCACAGGTCCATCTAATAACAACATCAGTGCAAGTTACAAATATTAGCAGTTTGTACTGACTATGTTTTATACAGTATTTTTTGTATTTAAACACTTTCGGCAATCAATGTGTGATCAATCGCAAATCTTACAAATACAGAAATTTACACTTAAATTGTCCTGTAATCAAACTATAAAGCATACTCCACTATTGCTATTTGGCATTAGATAAATATATTCCTATCTATCAATATTGATATCACATAATTAGAAAGCAAATTTCATGACTTTTTAATGTAAAATCACTACACCTTAATGAAACATAAATGTAATCTGAAAGACAACTATTAGTAAAGAAAATTAGTATAATGAGAAAAAAAAATCTAAAATGGGTTATATAAGAAATACATTTTTAAATTAGGTTTTTTTGGGGAGCTTTAGTGTAGAATTGGGTGCCCCTTCGATTAGCGACATTTTATTTTTATTTTTTTTTTATTTTTTATTTTGGCGATGAAGCCTCACTTCTGGTTACCATGACAGTTTTAACTTTGTTTTAGCTTCCTGATTTTATTTAAATGAAACAGATTGATGTGTACATGGGCAAATTTAAGGCAGTGTGCAATGCCTAGTTTGTGCAATTCTAGGATTTTTTTTAAGTGAAAACAGATCGATGTGTACATAGACACAGAGTTTGTACAATTCTTTGACTTCTTATTTTGGTTTTGTGTAGCAGCCATCTTGAAACTGTGCCTTCCTGGTGCCGATTGTAGCATAAAAAAAGAATCGCCAAAAAACAAGCAACACCCAATTGTTTACCTTTTTTTGTTTTAATCTAGTTTCTAAAATATTTTAGCATAAGTGTCCGTCATGTCATACATATTGCATCATATGTGGTTATAACACTGCACTGTGTCTCATGTCATATTGCTCTGCCGCATATTTGCATCATGTCTAATTGCCAAACAGTATATGTCACAACCACACCATTTTATTAATTACACAGCAATTATTTTGGTTAATCTTCGGACTATGGAAACTTTACAATTTTTTGGCAAAAATTTGGCGACCAACCTTGCTAGGTTTTTTTTTTTTTTTTTTTTGACGCCAATTTGTTTTCACGAAGTAAAGCTTTTTTTTTTTTTTTTTTACTCAACATTTTTTTTCCAACATCGCTAGCGAATTCGCTTATGCTAGAACTTTTGGAACAAAAGTGCTTATCATGACGAAGATTAGGTGCAAAATTAGGAAAAGTGCAGATCGCCCACTGCTTCCGCATTTTAAGAATTGCCACATACACAGTATCCATGTACACGTCGACCTATTTTCACTAAAAAAAATCCCAATTGCCCAAATGGCATTGGGACACACTCTGACTTTATCCATGTGCATGCTAAAGTCCTAGCTAGTAACCTTATCGCCTTACCAAATGTCGCCAAACTACCTGTTGCCATATTCCAAAGATTAGCCATTATTTTAGTTATATAAAGATCTGAGATTTTATGAATTTAAAGATTATTGCCAAATGTTACACATATTACGAAGATCATCAAATAGACAGTTATATAATCTTTATTCCTTTAAGAAATATCCCAATCACAGAATTAAATTTTTGAAATTAATACATTAGAAATAAGAAAATGATAGTATTATATTTCAGGTTTCTCAATAAGTAGACATATCAACATTGCTGAGTAATTTTATATAGCATAAAATATTACTGTTGGTAAGAAAAGTCATATCAAAATTTTAAGAAACATTCAATGTTTTTTTTTTAGCTTTTCGATAAAAAATGTTTACTTACTAACTTACAATATGTAAAAATTAATACCAAAATTTTAATAAGTTGAATTTATAATATACTATTATTTAACAGAATTGCTAATGTACCTTATACATGTATTTCTCAATTAAGCATATTTTGAAAGGAGAAGTATCTTTTACAAACTTCTCAAATATATATTAACTAAAAATATATTTTTATCAGTCTGTATTCATCAGAATTCCTGAATTAGAAACTATGACAGAAACCTATACCTTTACTTCATGTAATTTATTTTTAGCCAAACATGCTGCATAAATTATGAAAGGGAAACAATGAATTTTCAAAAGCTTTTGTGTGAAACACTACAGAATACACCAAATTCTAAATATACTAACTTCATAGTTACCACATATGAGTTTCTCTTATTTCACTAATTATTTGATTAGCTCTTTGAAGTGCTTTCAACATTTCAGCAGCTTCTCTGCGCCTAACTGCTATGTGCTCAGATTCTTGCAGAAGCGATGCAAAATGATCATGTTTATAAAGATGAGTGACCAATTCACTCTGAAGGTTATCACGCACATAATTCACAAGAAAGTGCATGATAGCTTTGGGTACCGTATCCTGAATATTTTTTCGCACAATCATGAAGTATGAATGAATCAATCGCTCAATAACTTCACAGTCCTTTTTCTCTTTAGCAGATAACTGCCTTGAAGCACTGGTAGGAACTTCTGGCAATAAATTTACAGCTTTGACAGGACTAAGTGTAACACTAGTTTGTGGACTATATCCAGGAAGTTTTCCACTCACATCAGCACTTTCTTTGCCTTCAGATTTAGAAATTGTGTCTGAAGAACTTACCCACTTCCATACAGGTCCTTGCACTAAGTTAGAATCACTTCCACTTAATTTGTTCATGGGATGTAAACCTGACTCGGAATATTTTGAATTCTTTTTCATTCCATAAAATTTATTATCAACTTTTTCGGATGCCCCATCTGTATTTAACTGATCATATTTTGAAAGATAATTCGGAGTTTCAGACCTTCTACTAGCATTTACATTCTTTTCATCAAAATGTTTTGCCAAAGTATCAACTAAAGCAGCATCGTTATGGAAATCAGGATGTTTCGTATTAATATATGCCAATTCTATAGCAACTAAGTTTTCTACCATTGCATTGGTAGCAGGTAAACGCCTTCTAAGTAGCTGTGTCACAACATCCACAATTTTTTCATGTAACTTTGGAAAGCGAATAATTTCCTGCTGTACTTCTGTTCCACAATGCTGAATAATGCGTTGCATTTCTTCATGAACTAACTCTACACATCTTAAGCTTGGATCTTCCAATCTGCTGATTTGTCGTTTTACAAGAAGTTCAAAAGATACTTCAGGAACAAAAAGAGCTGGCCTTGTTCCAGTTGCATTTCGAATGGCAGTTAATATATCAAAAGGAGTGAGTCCACTTAATGGATCAATGCCATTTAATGTTCGGCCAAATGTCTCGTGAAAAATGTAACAAATCCTAGCTCCTCCACATAATTCAGTAGTCTCAATGTTGCGTGCTGTTCCTTCAATTGTAGAGCAATATGATGAAGCAAATTTGGTAATGATTTGCAATAATGTTTGCCCCTGATCATCCACAGCTTCACCATATGAATGCAATAAGGACTGGTATTGGGATATCCTAACATTTACTCTTGTTTTTAAATCAGGAAGACAATCCCTAATATGATGCATTAAAAGCCTGTTTAATGTTTTAGCCAAAAAGGCTGTTCCATTCCTGGCAGCAAGCGCAGGATATTTTCTCTGTAAAAACAATGCTTCATCCTTGATAGCATCCTCTATGCTTTTTTTATTTATAATATCTTGTTGAGATCGATTCACTACTCCAATAATTCCAAGCTTTACTGGAATAACACGGCCACATAATACATCCACCGCGTCAGTTCCTGCATCCATGAGGTCCAATTTTGTTACAACAGCTAGAGTACGCCTTCCATCCATATCACATTCTCTGGCTAACTTTAGAGATTCAGATGTTGCAAAGTCAGTATTGGCTGGAGTTACTGCTAAAATAATAGCATTAGGATTACTTATATGCTGTAGAATTAGTTGTCGTATTTGAATTTCAATATCTTCAGGCTGATCTCCTACAGGAACTTTAGTTATACCTGGCAAATCAACAAGGGTTAAATTTACCACTCGAGGAGAATATATTTTCAAATTTATAGGTTCAGGGCAAATACCTTTATTTGAACCACTCATTCGTTCAGTTTCACCTTCGATTTCTTTACGTATTTCATCAAAATCAGAAAAAATTTTATTCTTAGTATGCAAAAATTTGCCCCATTCTTCAAGATGTAAAGTTCCTTCTTCAGCTGAACGGTAAGAAGTATCTTCTTTGGGAGTGTAAACCAGCTGTAAAACTAATGGTCTTCTAGTAACTATTCCTGCGCCACGAGGAAGAAAATCACGACCAACTAAACTTTCTAGAACAGAACTTTTACCAGAGCTCTGAGTACCAACAACCACAATTTGTGGAAGCTGAATGGAATCGGTACCGACAGTATTGAAAACATCATGTAATTTATTCATAACAGGAATCAAGGCTTCCATTTTTGTTTAAAGTCCGTTTCCTACTCACTTTTAATGAACCTGTTCACAAGTTTAATCAACGAATAAAAAGAATCACAAACATTCTATACTCAGTCCTAGAGGTCAAAGATTTACACGAGTACTCAAATTTCAATGAAATTGATATAATAATACTGAGAATAAAATGCTTCATACCTAATTACCACCCAAAGTGTCACACAAAACTATATGAACACCTCCTCATAAAACAATTAAACGATAAAACTTCATTTGAACCTCCAGAAGACTACTAGCCGTCACAATTATGTACAGACACACGCCAAAGGTGTACGGAAAAGTTTACCGTGACGTCACTGGGCTTCTGGATGGGTTACAATATTTGGCTTTTTATCATGTTTCGCGGTGAATTATGGCAAAGATTAACAATTTATCGTGCGATGTAAACAAACATCGAAGATTTCTTGTTAGGGTGCAAACGTTGTTGTAGTCAAAGAATATCTTAGATATTCGTTGTTGTAGTGTTCGCTTATTAATAAATTTCTTCTGGTGATAATTCAGTTAAAATCACTGACAAAAGTTTGATAGGACATGTGAGAACTTCCATTGCAGTGTTCTTTGAATTAACATTTATTTCCTGCTAAACGTATTATAAATAAAAGAACAAAACAATTTCAATTTTTAATATCTCTGTTAGCACTTCATATAATTTTTTTAGTGGTATGAAAAAAAATTTGTGCATATTGATTTAAAACTATTAAAATCAGATACAAAACTGAGTTTTTTTTTTTTTCCTTACGAAAGCACTGAAACTGTTTAATTATAAATATACTATTTTAATACTGAATTTTGAACGCATTTTTTCTGTTGATAATCTAGTTAATCGTAAAATGACTGTGCTTTCGCATAATTTAACATCATTTGTGAAGTGAATGACACTAAATTTCAGATGTGATGATTTTTTAAATTGTTTCTGCCTCTGAAATAAAAATTTATTCTAATGTTTTGCGAGTTTTTAAGTGTATCAAAATGTCAATGTTCCATCGGCACTTGTGCAGAAACATGGGAAATTGACTCATCGTTTGTTGTAATTATTATGTCATTTAATGTGAGCAAAATGTTGCAATGTATTTGATTTTTTCTTGATGAATTTGAAATTATGAAAAAATAACGTATGGTGTAGATGATGACAGAAATTTTTAATGAATGAATTTAGAAACTGTAAGATGAAAAGAATTTTACCTTTGATCTGATTCACAACTGCATGTCACAAAACATACTTCATAAAGTATGCCGAAGTTTTATTCCTTGCAAAAAACATGATATCTATTATTCAAGTTTGTGATCAGAGAATTATTATAGAGCAATGAAAGAATATGATCTTCGTGAGGTGAGCTGTATTCTTCATAATGAGGAAAATTTGGAATTTTATTCCTTGCAGAAAACATGATATCTGTTATTCCAGTTTGCGATTAAGGAATTTTTATAGAGCGATGAAAGAATATGATCTTCGTGAGGTGAGCTGTATTCTTCATAATGTGGAAAATTTGGATGAAAGTGCAAATGAATTAATAAGGACTAACCTCCTTGGTGTATTTTCTGCATCTTCTAAATACATATTTTGAAACCATGTTTCAGAAAACACAATAATAAACTGTTTTAAGCAGGATAACTTTTACTGATGGCAAAATCAGTCACTTTCCCAAACAAACAGATCCAAGTACAAAATATGAAAAAAATGTCTTTGAATATGATGATGAGAAAACTTTCTTACTTATTATTTCTCAAAACTGTCTCACCCAGTGCTCATAAACTGTGTATGAATGAAATTTTTCATGACAACTGCATGCTCTCCACTATTATTGAATTTTTAGCTCTTATTTCTTAATAAAAGTCCTGTGGAAACATGCAATTTTATATTTCTATTATACAACCATTTATTTAGTTAAACTGTATTGCAATTTCCTTGGGCATATTTCTCATCATTTAATATTATGATTCAGTTTTTGCTATCAACACAGATATGGACGAATGTAATGATATGCAAAACAGTGTGTGCTTTTTTTGTAGAAAATGCAATCGAACTTTCCAAAGAGAATAACCTCTTACTTAAATAGATTTGTATTATGGGAGTGGTTATCTAAGGAAATGTGCTATTAGTGATGTTCTATTATCAGCCATTATTTTATTTTATATCAAGTATGCTAATCATTCGCAAAGGACCTCTTCACATAAATTTTCTCTCCATTATACATGTATAAATCAACTAGTTGAATGCTTTGGCATAATCAATAAAGTATTACTACTTGCACAGTGATGTTTTGGTAAAAGTATATTTACGAGTACCCATTGGTGATTTTTGGCGGCACATGGATACCGAGTTTGTGCACATTGACCTACATAAATGCGACACGAAAAATTACAAATTATGATCAGAACAAGAGAGTTATAATAAAACATTGGTATAACAAATACATTTGTTAATGGAAAAAAACATCACAGAATTGCACAAACTAGGCATTGTGCACTGCCTTGACTTTCTTTATCCATGAACACGTTGACCTATTTTCACTTAAAAAATCACCAGAGAATTGCAGAAACTTGGCATTGTTCACTCCCTTGACTTTATTTACTGACTGAGTATATTTACGGATGTACAGAACATTCAACTACTCAGCAATCAACATAAATGAAACAACAACTTGGCAATAAATGAAACAACATCTTCGCAATAATACAAGGGGTACCCTTCAGTCTACTCTAACCGATGCTTTATATAATTGCCTGTACTTCTGATGAAATGATATTGTAGCTTTTGCTTACAATATTTTATCAATAATTATTTTCTTTTCTATTAAGAGCATGTATAGTCCTCACTGTACCTTTATTTACCTCATCTTTATGATATGCATTGCTATGCTTAATTTGACATCTGCTTTCTATTTTAAATATTTTTCCTCCTCTTTTTTTTTTTTTTTTTTTTTTTCCCAACTCCTTAAAGGATGGGTCTTTGGGAGGAAAAATTAATGTCTCCTAAAGTGTCATGTGCTGTTCTCAAAGTGGGCCAATCTTTTTTTTTTTCCTGCTTTTTTATTTTCAGCTTTCTTGAAGATAATCTTTTTAGCTCAAAGGGGCAATTTGCCCAGAAAGGCTATTAATTTTGTTTTGGCATTTTGCGTTGATTCATTATAAATGGTGAATCACTTTTTCAATTGTTGCCACCAAATATTAGAGTATTATATTTAAAGAAGTTAAATAATGAAGAATCTGCATAAATGTATGTATGTTTCTCACGTTGTGATAAAAACAACTGTGTTTAGGGCCATCAAATTTTGAATAATGTATGTCTCCATTAGAATATGGGCATCTGGAAGCCCTAATTTGGAATTTGTTTTATTATCTATTTCATATCTTGTAACGCATTTATAAGTCTTTGATTAAGAAACTCAATGATTTCAAAGTGAGCAATAGCAACTCTGTATGGGAGGAGGGAACATTTTTATCTCCAATGTGCGAGACTGTGTACTGGGAATTCGAAAGACATGCTCTTTTAAATATTTGTGATATTGCTGTTGAATTGAATTTTATGATTTAAGTGTGAAGAACATGATATTTAATAAATAAAGATAACACAAAATGTTAAAAAAAAAAAAAAAAAAAACCTCAGGGCATAATATAAAATCTGAAAGCTTTCAGTTTATTTATTTATTTATTTTCAAAAAGTAGTCAATGGTTGATCATGTTCAGATAAATGACTTGGTGGTTTCACAAAATGAAATTTGCTGTCTGGTTCCGAAACGAAAAGTAAAACAGATCTGATGAATTGGAAACGGATGAGTAATTACACGAGATGTCAAATTCACTCAAAAAGTTGCACTAAATGTATTTAATATGATACATAATTTGCTATTTTTATTTTCTTTTATATGAATTGTTGATAAATTATGATTAGTCATGTATACTTCAGATTGAAACTACTTTGTGAAATCAGGTAAGGTATGAGGATTGAATATTAAAATTATCGTACACAAACTTAAGAGCGTATTTCATTTCTTAAATGAGTTGAATGAAAAATTTAAATGGGTGAATTATCTGTTTTCTTGGTACATTCACTCTGCTAAAACAGATTACAATATTTGGATTTTATTTTTGCCTTGTGATTTGGTGCAGTTTTTTTTTAATCAAATCAATTAAATTACTACAAAAATTCAAGAGGGAGTCATACAGTGAGCTATAGTACAATGAAATTAATAAATATACAGATATTACATGATTTGTAAGTTTTAAAATGTTTTATTCTGTAACATATTACAGATAAAAAATGATTACTACATGAAATGAAATAAAAGTTCATCAAATTTGACATAATACCATAAAGGTCATTGTGTGTTCCTGTTGGTACAGGACACATATCGACCGGGTATCACAATTCTATTCACAAACATAGTAAAATTTCCCTGCTGATGGTCATCAAAGGAGCTATAATGCAGTCTTGGAGTTTTGATATTATTAGCAATAGGAGCATATAAATATAGTCTAAAGCACATTCCAAAAGCAAAAGATTACGGAGTGTATGGTCAATGATCTCATGGTCATCTGAACAACATTGAGTCATCTTCTGATATTGATCAATCCAAAAAAAAGATAGAAATTTATTATTAGGTAATACAACAGTTTTCAGAGAGGAAATGTGTATTTTTCTGAATCATATTTCATTTAGAGAAATAACAACTATATAACGTATTAAAATCTGACATACCTTTTACAGTGTTTCTGTAGAAAAAAAGGACCCATGTACCTTTATCAGTGAAATGGCATATAAAATGTTCAAGTAAATATAATTTCTATTCAGTAACAGCATGACAATTTTCCATGTCCAGTACACAAACGTACCTATCCAACAAATGCTTCACCACTAGATAGTGGAAGAATTGTCTTCCATGCATACGATTGCAAAATTTATATTGCAGCATCTGTAAATAATATGGTTTTAGTTGTAATCAACATTGCAAAATCTTCCCTATGTTTGGTTATAGAACACATATTTGCTACTAATGTAATTTGTAGACCTATCCTGTTTGTGGATTACATGCAGTGGTGAGCTATGAAAAACTTGACAAAGAGTTTGCATTTTATTCTATATAAACAACTTATGCAATTCTAATGAACTGTTATATTTTTTACAAAAACAGAAAATACTAATAATTGTATATGAATGAGAAAAACGTAATATCTTTTACCAATAAATCACAAAATATCAATTTTTAAATATTTCAATACGTTTACCATTACCAGTCTCAGGTTAATCGATTTTGGAGGGTTAATCTCATTGATTGGTGATAAAATGCATATAATGTATCAAGAAATATTTCAAAATGATTTCTTTAATGGTTTTGCTTACTGAATCTTGTGATACTACTGTAAATAAGAAGCTAAGCAGTATACAGTAATAAATTACAATATTAAGAAAAATATCTAAAAGTTTGATTACAGCTACTTTTTTTTTTTTCCTTCTTAATGTCACACCAGCTGTATGTGAACAAACTGCAATTAAATCTTTCTTCAAATAGTTTTAAAAAAATAGGTATGAATGTTAACCATTCATTATACATGCATGTGTAGATTCAGCAGCAGCATTTTCTGAGTCTAAACAAAAAGAATAAGTTGTATCTATTATAGCTTAGATATAAATTTAATAAGGGGCTAATGCAAGTTTCCTATAGCTCAGTTACTAATTTATATGTGAAACTAAATTTTTGCACTGTTTCATTGGAAATGACTGGCCATCTGGGGTTCTTGCCTTTATATAAGTAGCCAGTGTTCTTGAACTGTCAATACCATCATAGGATACTCTGCAGGCTTAGAGTCATAGGATGCTTTGTGTACACTGGTGTGCAAAAATTAAGGACGAAGTTGAAAAATTAGCATATCAGCTGAACGAAGAGGCAGAGCGGACAGAAAGACCAATCAGGAGATTAAGTAAGGTGATGTATGGTAGCACATGCGCAGATATGCAGGTAGACGTAATGGGGAAGTGTCTGAGTATTATACAGCATGTTGTCGGTGTAAGATCAGTATTTCTGGCAAAGAGATTGCACGCCGTATAGCAGTTAAAATCACACCGAGTTGCTGCCTCAGCGAGAAATGGCGAATAATCAATCTGTTAGACGACATCTGGATGCTTTTACCCGAGGTCGAATCATTGGGAAGTTGGAGGAAGGCCGCAGTGTGACAAGTGTGGCTGCAGAGTTCGGAATTGCTCACAGCATCGTTTCACGACTTTGGAGACAATTTCAAACTACAGGAACAGCTATCCGGGGGTTTAGTAGTGGTCGTCCACGAGGAGCCACACCCGCAGATGACCGGTATATTGCCTTACAGGCCAGAAGAAACAAGCAGGAGCTTATAATTAAACAGGAGGCTCTTAGCTGTCCCCTGTAGTGTCAGTCGGTTGGTCACTAGTCCTTGGTATCAGTGGTTTCGGGTGTTTCCGCTTTTTGGAAAGCTTACTGTGGGGCTTCAGATTGCGTATAAAGTCAGTTCACCCTGTCGCAGGAATTTGCATCCCTATGTTGGACTCTGTGGTGGGCTGGGCTGCTGCCGGGGCTGAATCTTTTATTTCACTAAATATGGCTTCTAATACACAAACAAATGAACAAAATGAAAATTGTCCTATTTCTATAAAAGTTAAGACAAATGCAAATTCTGACAAGAATAAAAAATAAACTGCAGTTTCTGATAATTAGTAATCCATCAGGAAATCTTCAGAAAGTGACACCGTTTTTAATGTGTGTGTGTGTGTGTAAGAACGCTAAGTTCTGCAGCCAACAACCTGATAGGCAGATCATCGCCTGCGTACCTGAGACAGACAAGGATAGACACTATGCGAAGGTGGAGGCTATCGACTTCCGATTTTGTTCTGATTCCGTGAGGGCAAGAAGTGACTGTATAAAAAAATGAAAAATTTCCTTGTGTTTATCTAGCGCGAGGAGCCGCTAAACAACTGTTATATCTCTATTTAGTCTGTTAACTTTTATCCGTAATTAAATAAATGCTCTGTGACGTGGAAAACATTCCAATTTTCACTCAAAATTTTTTTAAGGCTAGAAGTTTTCAAGTTAGAATTGGCTCTGTTTTTTTTTTTTTTTTTTTTTTTTTTTTGTTTGTATAACTTTGAACAAGACGAGGTTTGCTCATGGGTGTGTTTTGAGTGTTATCTTAATCACGCTAAAAATAAACCGTATCTTAAAGGAACTTCCTCTTACTGTTTCTGTTTCAGGATAATTGTACATTGACAATCTTCAAGTTACCAAGGGGCAGATATGAGATATGTGGAGAGGCAATTACGGATCACTATTAATAAGATCCAGATATAGTCAAAGAAAAATGGATTTGCGTCTTCAAAACGGAAGGCTGTCACAAGCACTTTTGCAGAAAGGGAAATCTGCATCCTGAGATTTAACTTGAAGGGTCATTAATTCCAACTACGCCCGAAGGGAAATTCCTAGGAGTGATTGTTCAATCGGAAACTTACTTTCCTTCCACGAATGATGTACCTGAGGAAGAAACGTTTCAGAACTTTTACCTTCTCAAAGGTCCTGGCGAACACCTTTTGGGGTGCAGAGGATGGGATCATTGTCCCGCATATATAGGCCATTCATCCGCTCTAGACTGGACTCCCGATAAAACGTGATTAGGTCTTTGTTTGTACCTTACTTCAACCCATATTATTACTCTCAACACATTTTATTATTCTAGTGTTAGCGCATTTATATACTTTGCATATAATTTTCAATCCTCATCGCTAGAATACAGTGTCTTAATCTAGATACTAATCTAAGTCGCGCAAAAGCGTTTATCCTTCTATTTCTAGCCAAAGGCCTCAGAGCACAACGCCAACTAGAGGTCAAAACTCCTAGTGGTTGATGCCTCAAGAGCCACCAGCGATGTCTAGACTGGCTCAGAAGTTAATGATTCGGTAGAGACTTCTGTATTATTGAAACTTGATTCGATTCATCATTGAGCTCTGCGGATTTGCCCTAGAGCCTTTAGAATATCTCCTGTATAAAAACAGTACATTTATTGCTTAGAATCATCGTTTAAATTAAAACGTGAACAATTGACCCTTCATCACTAGTTTCGTATAATGTCGCAACCTAAACATCCTTGTCTGAGTACTCTTGATGACTGCTATAGCTTATTATTTGCAGCACGGCCTCTCTGCATTCCTACGTTCCCTGCAAGAGCTGAGCCTTTGATAGAAAAATATTCAGTGCTTGATGTGAATAACCGAGCAGAATGACGTAATATTCTACTGTGAGATGGTCCAGAAATTCGGCTCCTAGAAGCTTTCACCATTATTATAAAAGAAAAACGAACGAGTTAGCTTACAAGTAGCTTTTCTACGAACCAGGAACGAACACTGCAATTACATTCCAGTATACATTAATGGCTCAAAATCAGCAGGTCATTTGCGATTCGAGGTCATGTAGAGGAAAGAAGGCTGCAATGTGCTTCCTGACTATTTAAAGCTGAAGTAACATGAATGTATCGGTATTACGATATATTTAAGTTACTTCGTATACTTACTTTGATACTTACGTATCGGTATTGCGAACTTGAATAATTCGGTGTATTACCCTTTTAAATATTCATCTAAGCCAAAAAAAGTTTATAAAGTTATTTCTCCGGCCTTTCTATCATTCCTTGGTTTGAGTCCCGGCTAGAGCATTGCTCATTTTTCTTGTCTCTTGCTTCGAAATAACCTAATGTCTGTACAACTTACACCGATTTGTTAAGTGCACAAAAAGCTTTTCAAAGTTTCTCTAGACCCAGAAACCGATGGTGACAGAAGTGTTATTGACTACCTTAAAACTTAATAAGCCGTGAGTACGAGATCCTTTACTGCTGGGTTCTTGGACACATACAGATAACGGGTAACGAACTGGCAGATATCACAGCAAAATCTGCCGTGGGACTGTTTAAATCAGCTTGTTACTTTGAGAAATATTAAAGTGATTATCAAGGGTAAAATCCTGAGTCTATGGCAAGGACCTGCAAGTGAATGAATAATGCATAAGCCTAGAATAAGAATCATAGTAGGAGGAAGTCATTGAGGAGGAGGTCTGACAAAGACGTCACTTCTGACAAACGCACACTTCCATCTCTTAAAACGGATAGTGAAAAATTATATTCAGTAATAGTTATAGTATATATGAGTATAATATTCTTGGCCTCCCGTGGGGGTGGCGGGCCCCCTGGGAAAACCAAACCCCGGCGGAAACCACTGTAGGCGTGTCTGTCCTGTATGACAGATTTTGTTAGAAATGGCTCACGTTTTGATAGACTTCAGGAAATACTATTTCCAGGTTTTTCAGGTACTTCCTCTCGACTTTTAATTGGAAAACCAGATCGGGTCTCACGAAAAATTTCCTGCCACCGCAAATATCGTTTGAGCAAATAGTTCGCGTTGACGTGTTGAATCATATTTTGTCAAACAATTTTTGGCGTTTGAAAGGAAGAGACTTGCTTTAGAACACTATATTGTGAAATTTGTAAAAAAAAATATCATTATTATTATGTACAAGATGTCTGAAATGGAACTATCACGCTACGAGATTTAAACTATCATTTACTTCCAGTTTTATTGCAAAAAGTCAGCTACAGAATGTCACCAAATCGTGTGTATAGCTTTAGGGGTGCACTAAGGGCTAATGTTTGTACATGTGTTCGAAGGTTCAGTTTGCCGTGATTTATGTATAAGGTGAACATAGCTTAGGGCCCTCCGAAATATTGTAGCATATCCCATATAAAAAAAAAAAATTGACTGATATCCCTCATAAAGGGCCCCATATTTCAAATAGCTTAGGCTCTCGTCAAATCTAAATCTGGTGCTGGTGAAGGTTTGGTATCGAAATTTCAAAAACAAGCATTACGACATTCAAGAGGCAGAGCATTCGAGTCGGCCTACTGATGTTGATGAGGTCCGCCTGCGAGAGTATGTGGAAGAAGTGCAGTATGCAACCAATTGAGAGCTTGTTAATGAGTTAGTGCCATGTCCATTGGTCGCAGTATGCATCTCATACACTTGACGTTAAAGTTGAATCGCTGGGTGCCACATGAGATGATTCAAGCAGATAAGGACGGACGTGTTTGGGGCCTGCACTAATCTGCTCGAATATCAACGCAAGGATAAAATTCTGTACCGGATCATCACTTGTCATGAAAAGTGGACTTCAACAACACAGGCCAAAAAGAGGGGTTGGTCTGCACCCGACGAGCCCATCGGCAGCATCGCAAAGG